GCTGTTTCCTTGGCAATTAGTTACTCAAGCTAAAACTCAATTATCAGATCATGTTTTCTACATATAGTCTCATACATAACTGTATATATCATGTCAACACATAACGACTGATCTATTTATACTGCTATTACAAATTTCATATTGGTATATTGGCTTTTTTGTGTGTTTTTTTTTTCGTTGGTCGAAATCGCCGGTTGCGCCGTCTTATTTAATTTGTCGGCTGACACACGATATGCCAAATGCTGAGCTAGACAAATTTGACGAATTTCTTAAACTGCCTTGACTTGGCCAATTTCCATGCCATTTTCATTTCCATTTACAACGTAAGCAATGGCCTGCTTAGCATAGTTCCAGTTGCAGTCCGCTCGCTAWACAATGGACACACAAGCGCGGCTCCGTCTGTACTTAATACTAGGTTTGCTATTGAAGACAGCCAGCTCTGCAGGCTGGTCAATGTCGGAGGCGGGTCTCAACGACTCCAGCTATAATGTGCGTCACTTGTCCACACACTTTGCGCGCGTTTTTCTCAGTGTAAGCGTGGAACACAATGATTTCCCTACACTGATCGAGGCACAGTGGCCCGTCTCCTAYTTGCCCATGCGCACAGYCATCTACCCCAACAGCGAAGTCCATGCAARCAGAGGACAGYTCGAGTCGGACTGCACRCGTCTGCARCAAGCGCATTGGTCGCAGGTGGATAGCYTAAGTCGGCTGTGGGTCATGGACGTGGGCTGGMCCAACAGCGAGTGTCCGCCCAAGCTGTTCGTCTTCGATTTGATCAGGAACAATGCGGAGTTGCTGCGTATCGATTGTGGCCAGCACATTGACATCAATGCCTCTGAGAGCTTAGTAGTGCACCTGGGACCCAAGGCAAGCAACTGCGAACTGGAACGTCATATYTTCTTCATATCGGACGGTCAACCGCATATCGTGGCCTACGATATACTGGAGCAAACCTGGCATCGGCGCGAGCTGAAAAGCAACAAATATGAAAATATGAGT